GATTGTGGTAAATAGAAACAAGCACATATGAAGTTCTAAGCTCTGACAAATACCTTAACAAGTATAATACATAGTAGAGCAAGAGTCAGTTGAGCCTACTTATGTGATAAAGTCAGGTGAGTCTGCCAAGGAGGTGATGTTGAAATGAGCACCTCAAGGAAGGAGGTTTGTTTGGAGAGAACCATGAGAAAAGGCATTGGATCATGGGCAAGTGTCCTGTGGTGACAAAGAGTGTGGTGACAGTATGGCTTAGCACCATGTGAGAGGATGAGAGTGGAAAGGCATGAGATAAACATGCCTTCACATGAGAAATGAGGTAGAATGGGAAATGTTAGGAACCAAGTGAGGGAAGAGGCAGAGATGGGGAGGAATGATGAGTAGAGGAACCATTAGGTGGGGATGTGGAGGGACTTRTTGAGATCAAAGCCATGTGCAGAAAATGAGGTGCCCTATTGGCTCTCCCAACCATGCTGAGTCAGCCATTATTGACCCAAACCACAAATGTAATCCCAGGTAGAACCAGAAGAACCACTAAAGCAAACAAAAGAATTGAAGAAATAACCAATTGTTTATTTATTTTTTTGTGTTATTGTATTTTTATACCTTTATTTTATTAATTTATTTATATGTGGTACTGATGGTCAAACCTGGTGCCTCACACATGCTAGGCAAGTGCTCTACCATTGAGCCACAACCCCAGCCCCAATCATTTATTATTTTAGACTTATTTTTTTAGTTATACATGACAGTAGRGTATATTTTGGCATATTTATACAAATATGGAATATATCTTATTCTAATTATGATCCCATTTTTGTGATTGTACATAATATAGAGATTCACTGTGGTGTATTCATTTATATGCATAAGAGTTATGTTAGATTTATTCCACTCTCTTTCCTATTCTGGTCCCTCTTTCCTCCCTTTTTTTTTCCCTTTGTCTAATTCACTGAACTTCTATCCCTCCCTTGTTATGGCTTAGCATCCACATATCAAGGAAAACATTCAACCTTTGGGTTTTTTGGGATTGGCTTATTTCACTTAACAACATTCTCCAGATCCATCCATATATTGGCAAATGTCATCAAGTCATTTATCTTTATGGCTGAGTAATATTCCATTGTGTATATGTACCACATTGTCTTTATGCATTCATCTGTTGAAGGACTCCTAGGTTGGTTCCATAGATTAGCTATTGTGAATTGAGTTGCTATAAACATTGATGTGGCTGCATCACTGTAGTATGCTGACTTTAATTCCTTTGTGTATAAACTTAGGAGTGGGATGACTGGGTCAAATGGTAGTTTCATTCTAAGTTTTCTAAGGAATCTCTATAATGCTATCCAAATTGGTTGTACCAATTTTCAGTCTCACCAGCAACATATGAGTGTACACTTTTCCCCACATCCTGGACAACATTGTTACTTGTATTCTTGATAATTGCCATTCTGACTGGAGTGAGGTGGAATCTTAGTGTAGTTTTAATTTGCATTTTTATAATTGCTAGAGATGTTGAATATTTTTATGTATTTGTTGATTGATAGTATTTTTTCTTCTGAGAAGTGTCTGTTCAGTTCCTTAGCCCATTTATTGATGAGCTATTGGGTTATTTGTTTTTTTTTTTTTGGTGTTAAGTTTTTTGAGTTCCTGGAGATTAGTGCTCTATCTGAGGTGTGTGTGGTAAAGATTTTCTTCCATTCTGTAGGCTCTCTTTTCACACTTTGTTTCCTTTGCTGTGAAGAAGCTTTTTAGTTTGATACCATCCTGTTTATTGATTTTTGATTTTACTTCTTGTGCTTTAGGAGTCTTGTTGAGAAGGTTGTTTCCTAAGCCGAACTGTTGGAGCATTAGACCTACTTTTTTTTTTCTCGTAGCATGTGCAGGGTTTCTGGTCTAAGACCTAGGTCTTTGATTCACTTTGAATTGAGTTTTGTGCAAGGTGAGAGACAGAGGTTAAATTTCATTCTTCTACATATATATTTCCAGTTTTCCCAGAACCATTTGTTGAAGATGCTAACTTTTCTCCAATATATGTTTTTAGCACCTTTTTCAAGTATGAGATAACTGTATTTATGTGAATTTGTCTCTRTGTCTTCTTCTGTTCTGTTTCATTGTTATTTATGCCTGTTTTGGTGCCAATACCATGTTGTTTTTGTTACTATAGTTGTAGTATAATTTAAGGTCTGGTACTGTGATGCCTCTTGCTTCAGTTCTCTTGGTAAGGATTGCTTTGGYTATTCTGGGTCTCTTATTATTCCAAATGAATTTCATGACTTTTTTCTTTCTATTTCTATGAAGATGACATTGGACTTTTAATAGGAATTGCATTAAATCGATATAGTGCTTTTGGTAGTATGGTTAATTCGGCAATATTCTAGGTGGTTTTTCATGAAGCAGTAGATAATTAGAGTCTATAAGACATCTATAAATTAGGCAGGAGCACAGAGAAGTCTTTTGAATGTCTGTGGTCCTAGAGGACCTTGAGGTCTGTCACAGAGCTCAACAGCTTTCCCTTGATTGATAGTTACTTAAAAGAGTTACATATAGAAGTGAAAATGATGAAATATATCATCTCCACTAAACTGCCATGTTCTGAAGATGGCCCATGAGGCAGGATGTTGAGGGCAAAGCTGAAGGAACAGGGATGGGGATAGCCGTGCAGGGGGAGGAGTTCAGAATATGTGATCCCCATCTAAAGCCAGATGCTCTGAGGGCCAAAATTATATCCAGCAGGATCTGGAAGGGCCAAGGCATTTCCCAGCACATGTGTTGGCCACTGGGAGCCAATCTTTTYGGAAATGTGGTACAAGTGTGCTGGGATGCCGGGGTTAAGTCCACAAGAACAAAGTTGGGAYCAGGGTTTCTATAAAGTTAATGGGAGGTTCTCAGCTTACCCATTGTCTCAGTAAAACTAGATGTGTATACCTAAAGGTGAAAGTGGATCTACTTACTTTCTCTGAGATTTATAAGGGATCAAAAAGCTCTGACAGTGACTATGGTGGGACCAGATTGTGGGGATTCGGTCGTTTTGATGTTCGCAAGTGGCACGGTCTCCAGCCCTGATGTTCAAGGACTGGGTGCTCTGGGAGGTGCTACTTCTTTTTTCATGAATACATGCACAACACATGGATGAACAACTGGATGAGGGAAACGGATGCTTGAATGAGCAAAGCTTCCTTTCTCCTTTACTCTCTGGTCAGTTTCCCAGTGCCCACCATCCTGTGCTGAGGAGGGAAGAGTGACAGATCATTTTTGTGGTTGCAGSCGTGACTGGACAAGGGGTGATCAAGATGTCCTATATCTGCAGTGATTCTCCTCACCCCTCACCAGAGCCGACTTTGCTGTTGGCCAGAGAGGCAGCAGGCAGAAGGAYACATCTCCTCCAGTTGCCCTAGCTGACCAATTTGAGTGAGGTCTGCTCCTTGTCAGGGAAATRAAGGACAAGGGGAAGCTCAAGGCTCTACAGAACTAATCTGAGGGAATAATAAATTTAATTAGCCAACTACTTATGAGAAAGGGAGGACTGGTGCTTTCCCAGCTGCTCAGTGCCATCTAGAGCGCGTAAGGTCACTTCACCCATAGTCACAGAGCTGTGCAGATTTAAGGAGAAACTTTGACTCCAGCTTTTGAGTGAGCCCGTGGGAAAAGAGAACTTCGGGGCCATCTTAGAATTACATCTGGCTAGGTTTCGAATGCTTGTGTCTCCCCAAATTCCTATGTTGGTCCTCACCTCCAAMGTGTCATTAGCAGGGCCTTTTGGAGATGATTACGTTATAGGGAAGAATCCTTGTGAACAGGATTGGTACTTTTACAAAAGAGGCCGAGAGGGGTCTCTTGCCTCTCCACCACATGAGATTGTAGCGAGAACCCAATCTACCCTGAACCAAGACACAGGTCYTTGCCACACACCAAATCTACCAATGTCTCGATAGTAGAGTCCCCCTACCCCACAACTTTGAGGTCTGTGAGAAATTCCTGTTATTTACAAGCTACCCAACCTATGGTATTTTTGTTGTAGCAGCCCAAATGAACTAAGAAACTTCTGTACTGCTTTCCTAGGGCCTCAGTGACAAGGTTCCATTAACGAAGAGGCTTAAATAACAAAAATTAATGGTCTCACAATTCTAAAGGCCAGAAATCCCAAATCAAGTTACGGGCAAAGTTGATTTCTTCTGAGGGTTTTGAAGGAAGATATGTTCCAGATTTTTCTCTTGGCTTGAAGATGACCTTCTCCTCTCTACATCACTTATCACCTTCCCTGTATCTGAGCTCAAATTTCTCATTTTTATAGGGACACCAGATGTACGGGATCAGGGCTCTATTCTTATGGTCTTATTTAACCATAATTAACTTCCTTAAAGGTCTTCTCTCCAAATTAGTCCCACTGGGGRGTTATGGCTTCAATGTGTGAATTTGGGGGACATAGTTTAGTCTACAACAGGGCCAAAGTGTGTCTCCTTAGTGAGCTGAGAGCAGGAAGAGGAATAATTCTGGGTCCCCTGGTGCTTTTCTCTTGAAGTCCAATCATTCCACCTTGTCCTAGGAGGGAAAAGAGCCAGGTTTAAAGGTGTTACTGAGTTTTGGAAAGGCACAGAGCGTCCCACTGTCTTCAGGATCCCCAACACTTGCAGGTGTTTTTAACCACCCCGAGGATGTGTCCTCTCCATTTTACTAGGCATTTACATTTGGAGGAGAAACTTATTTCTGTGAGGCTTAGCTTCCTCAAGGGGGAATTGATGTCACTCTCCCTCAGGGACCCGAGTTCACCAGCCAACCTCCTAGGCACTGATCTGTAAGCTTTCAGCAGGTGCTTCCTCCCCAAACCCTTCCACATGGCAAGGCCAGAGCCACAAAGCCTGCCATGGGACCRTTCTTTTAACTGACAATGCAAACCCAAGAAAGTCTGGGATGGTAGTGAGTAGGAACTAGGGTTGCAATGGCTCCTCCCCTTGGAGCAGGGAGGAAGAGGCTGGCTTATCCTACAAAGGCCCCAGGAGCAGTAGCCTCGGGAAGTAGAGTTCTGCCGGTCTGCACCATGTCCTGGGTTCCTGTCCTGCTCATGCTGTTAGTCTCCTGCACAGGTGAGGGAAATCCCAGTGTCCAAAGCCTTCTGCTCCTTCTCTTGCTTTGCCCTGCCTCCGTGGGGTAACCCACATGCTTCTGTGTTCCCAGGTTGTGTTCCTCAGCCTGTGCTGCATCAGCCACCATCCATGTCTTCACCTCTTGGAACCACAGTCCGCCTTACCTGCACCCTGAGCAGCAACTATAACATTGGTGTTTATAGCATCTACTGGTACCAGCAGAGGCTGGGCAACTCTCCAAGGTTCTTGCTAAGATACTTCTCATACTCAGATCAGCACTGGGGTCCCAATGTCCCCCATCGCTTCTCTGGATCCAAAGATGTGGCCAGGAACCGGGGGTATTTAATCATCTCCAAACTGAAGTCTGAGGATGAGGCAATGTATTTCTGTGCTGTGGGTCCCCAAAGCATGGAGAGGGAAAAGATGGAGAGGGAGAGCAGGGAAGAAAAGGATCCTGCTGCTTCAGGATCCCAGATGCCCCAGGACATGTATACCTGAACTGAAGACAAGGTTTCACTCAGAGAGGCTGGTGTGGGAAGGGGGAGGATAGAAGCATGGGGCTGCACAGAACCCAGGAGATAGGGACACTTAGCTCCTTATTGTCTAGCAGTATGGCTGTAAACCTCATTGGAAGCTAGATTACAGAATTAAAGCTGTTTGTGTTCTCAGAAGTTGTTTTGCTGAGTTGGGTCTGATTGCATGATCTCATGGGATGAAACTGACTAATTTAGGGCACAGGTCCCAGGAAAGTTACCAACCACAGTCTACTCAGTCAAGACCCTGTGGGCAGTTTCACCTGAGCCTCTACTCAGGGTTATGGGGGCAGGGGTGGGGAGGAGAACAAGAGACTGACMCAAGTGCCTTGGAGCAGGAACATCCTTGCTGAGGACAGGACCTTTTATTGTCATCTGATTATGCCCAGGAGTTATGAGTTGAACAAGGTTAAGAAGACACTTTTTATTGGGCCCTTGGGGAGGACAATAGGAGCCAAGTGAAAGAGATATAGCAGGCTCCCCACTTTGGTACTGTTTTTTTTTTAAAAATAAATTCAATATCCCGTGTATTCTATAACTGACATAGTATGCATTTTTTACTTTAAAATATTTGCAGTTTTCTTTTATTAATAACAAAAC